TTTTAAAAAAAAAAAAAAAAAAAAACTGCATTTAATCATTGAACACACTCTAATGCAGAACTAAAAGAGAGGAGTTGAAATGAATAAAGCAGAAACAAAGCATAAAAACTGCATTTAATCATTAAACACACTCTAATGCAGAACTAAAAGAGAGGAGTTGAAATGAATAAAGCAGAAACAAAGCATTGAAAAATATTAAGATTCTGTTATGTAAAAATAATAAAACACTACTTTAGATTTAGCAGCATTCACAGGGATGAAGTAAGCTAAAATAGGTCTAAAATATTTCAAAGTATAAATAAACTGAACGATACATAACAAAAGAAGAGGAGAATAAGGTAAGGAACTCTTAGGAGGAGGGTCAAGAAAATAATTTTCCTAAACATGGCCAGAGAAGAAAGAGTGTCTGCTACCTCCACAGGGAAAAAAGAATAAAGCCCTCAGTGTGGACCCAATAACATTGACAAATTTGGGGAAAAGTTAATATTTCTTTGCTTCAAATTGAGCCTCCAATCTTAAGTATACTGATTCTTAGGCATATCAGAAGAGATCTTAGAAATCAGAGTATACTTTGCATTCATTTTGGTAAGAAAATTAATGCCTCAAAGACAAACTACGTGTCTAAAAATTCCAGGCCAGATAGTGAGAAAATCAATATTAGAATTCAGATCTCCAGAGACAGGGCTCATTCTACTGCTTCAGGCCTTAGCCTAAACAAATCTGCTCCACAGCATTCCAAAAAAGAGATGCATAAACCTCTTTGTTGAGGTTGGGTCCCTGGAGGATAGCCAAATAAATATACGAATGTATATTTTTAATTTAAAAAACAAAAAACTTTGTTTAGTTGAGATAATGGTAAAACTGGGCATCTTTAATTCTGACTTCCTATTTATCACTTAATTTTAACTCCCAACTATTTACATAAAAGCAGAACTATAACTAAGAATGGGAAGGGGAAACATTTTGCACATTTGTAACATATTTAAAATGTTTTATTCAAAATAGTTGACCATTGCAAATGAGATAAGAGAATGTCTAGAAAATGAGATAATTATTTTCAAAACAGAGCCATATGGGAGGGAAAAAAGGCACAAGTCAATTGCCAAAGGAATAATTGTGTTACTGACCGAACCGAGTGTGCTAGGTGCCTCCTGTAAGTAATTCTTCATGTAAATGAAAAATGTGGAAAGGTTTTTCCTACAGTCTATATATTGTTTTTTAAGTTCAAAAACAGTTTCCATAAAGAATAGTCACCTGTTCAGAAAAAGGTTTTGTATAGACTTACCTTGGGATATACCAGCCGAAGAAAGTTGAATGTTTATCTCAAAAGAACCTTCTACAGTCTGCTCAATGTACATTCTTCCTGACTTTACCTTGATATACTTATTATATGAAGATATGCTTGAATCTATATTGTCACTATAACAAAGGACTGTTTTTGAACGTTATGTATTTGTTCTTGGGTAGAATTTTAAAAAGCACTTTTACCATGTACTTGCTCAATTACTCTAAAATGTGAGGGACTAATCACTGGTTGGTAATCTGTATGAGCCTAACCTTGAGAACATTGACTAATTGTGAAATCTACTACCAATATTTCCTTAAGCATTGCCCTCTAAATTTTGTTTTCAGAAGACTGGAATAAATGTATAAATGCTACTGGATCTACTGGTACATCTAATGATAAATCCTTAGATGAGAAGACAGATTAGGGCCCTAATCAGCTCTGAATTCTTCAATAGGAGGCTCTGTTATTGGGAGATTCAGAGTTTTTCCTGGATTGGCTTAAGTTATTGTCTTTTCTTAGAAAAGTGTCTATGCATCTTGTTACCCTGAACACAAGGGCAGTGTTGATAATATTTGACAGGACTCATTGGATCAAAAAAGTAACTTACCAAATGATCTAAGTGCTTCTGAGCCTTTGAGTTTGCACAGTTCCTTTCTCTTTTTCAACAATTACCCAGAGCTTTTACCCTACTCCCCCATAAAATGACACAGCTGTTGTTGGTTCAATTGGCGGTCATTCACAGGGCTGCAAAATACCACGTGTCATGATCACAATGTGGTGTTAGCTTCACCACACTGGTTTGGAAAAATTCACTTAGATATTAAAACACCTTGCTTCTAGCACTCCCTTAGGGATTATAGAGAAGCAAAGATTCCATGTACAATGTAATAAATTCAATATTTCCAGTCAAACCGGATTTCATGAATGATTTTCAAGGGGTTCTTGTACAAGAGAATGGGGTTGGCACACATCAGATAGTACCATCTTTATTTATTCTAACATCTCTCATTCAGAGCTTAAGAATAATATTATATTATTAATATAATACCTTATATTAAGGTATAATTTCTTTATATCTTGGGTATAACTTTTATTACTTACTATGTGCTAGGCACTGTATATGCCTCAGCTCACTGATGTGTGTGACTCCATGAGGTGGGTCTCAATCTTCCCATTATACAAACTAGGAGGATGATTCCCCAATATTATCCCACTAATAAGAGGTATAACCAACTTTCTATTATATCTGGCTCAAAAAAAAGAGTTTATTTCACTACACCATGCTGCCATAATTCTTTTTTTTTTTTTTTTTTTTTTTTTTAGCACATTCAGCTCAGGTGGGCTCAGTTAGAATCCCTTGGTTGCAGATTATTGAAGCCACAGATGACAGAATGAGGTAGAGTCAAACTTCTTTGGTCTTGGATGTTGGATAGACAGGAAATAGAAGCTGGGACTGTCTCTGTTAAACAACTGATGTGTAGGTGCAAGGTTAGCTACTCCCACAGGTTTTTCTATGATCTAGCTCCTTGACTTCATGCAAGACCTGTTCTTTTCCATCTCCTGGACCAAATATGAGGGGAAGAAGTGGACATGTAGGGGGTTGCTTCTCTGAATATTACTAACTCTTTCTTCCAATTTTAAGCAGAGCTGACAGATTGCTCGATTTGGACAGAGATGGAAAGTAAAAAATTGAAGAATTCTTTGATTTAAAACACAAGCCAGGACTTTTAACTTTCACTCATTGTGTAGAATGCCACTGTAGTGCTTTTGCAACAACTTTTGCATGGGGTACTCAACAATTGCTACAAGCCAAAATGCCTTAAAATGAGAAAATAAACACTAACCAAGGCTATTGTACAAAATATTTATTTTTTGACAAATGGCCATTACATGAACAGATTTGAGTAAACCATATAAAGTATTACATGCCCCTGATGAGGCTTACTGGATGGTATTTTAGGTGTTGATGGTGACTGTGTCATAAAGAAAGAAAAAAATACTGTCACACTAAACAGATTTAATGCCTCTGTTTCAAGCTAATAGGTCAGCTAATATGTTACCATTATAATTAGGGTCCCTTTACAAGTTTGTATGAATCTTTGCTTTGCAAAAGCACAAGCAAAACACAAGTGAAAATCTCACTTTTCAGCAGATAGAAGAACTTCTACCATGTTGAGTTTATAATGATGCCAGTTGCCACCAAACAAGTAACAAATAATTTCTTTGGAAACCAAGGTTTTCTATTTTGTTAGTGATTATATATATTTGCCAGTTTAAGGATATCAGTCATAAATCTTTATATAAATAAAGCCTTTATATTAGATGTTGAAACTAAAATTTTAACAGATAGATCTTTACCTTCAAAAACATTAATTTTTGTAAATATATACATGTATATACATATATGTGTACGTGTGTGTGTATTATATATGGGCCGGCCCGTGGCTCACTTGGGAGAGTGCGGTGCTGATAACACCAAGGCCCCGGGTTCGGATCCCATATAGGGATGGCCGGTTAGCTCATTGAGTGAGCGTGGTGCTGACAACACTGAGTCAAGGGTTAAGATCCCCTTACCGGTCATCTTTAAAGATGGCCGGTTAGCTCATTGAGTGAGCATGCTGCTGACAACACTGAGTCAAGGGTTAAGATCCCCTTACCGGTCATCTTTAAAAAAAAAAAAAAAACACAAGTGTATATATTTGATGCTTTGAATTGGGAGAAAGTAAAACCAGAAGTTTCTACTTATAATGTTAAGAAAATTAAGAAATTATTTCGGATATTTTTAACTCTTTTTAGGTGCCTAGCTTTGTCTGCATCTGGCCTTCTCCACAAAATTATTTCACTCTGGACACTGTTTTCCAGCCTTGAAGGAGCAATCAGACTGTAAATTATCAGGGTGCTTGTTATTCAGCTTAGGATTATGCACATGCCTTAATATTCCTTCAAATAACTGCCCAAAGTTTGCTAGTTTTGTACATACTAGCTATAGGAAGTGGGCTTAAAAACAAGAAAAGGCAAAGATCAAGTTAGTCAATTTTGTTATTGACTACCCGAAAACATTTGTTAGCGGGAGAATAAGACTAAAAAACTATGGGGGATGAAGGATTTTGGAGTTAATTTGAACATTTTTAAGTACCCATTTTTTCTGCCTCTGACCAACTGCAGTTATTACAAAGAAGGGGCCAAATATGTAATTTTAACTTTCTAGGTAAAAATCCACTTACTTTCCAAATTCATTTCCAAAATTCTCCTGAGCTGGCAGCTCATTAATAGATATCATCATTTGAGTTTGTAGTTTGCCATGTATCTGGGAGACTTCTGCTGCTCATCACTATCCGTGTCATTGTGTTTGTGGTGATTATATGACTGAGTCATCTCGTGTTCTTCATGAGCTGTATACACATTTTGGTCTTCATATTTATTGTGTTATGTTACTGTCTACTGTTTTAATATTGGCAAACATACCTTTTGGCATTACTTTTTATAGCCCTCTTGTTTTTATAGAGCAACGACAGTTCAGGCTTTAAGAGAAGTGGTTGCCTTTCTCATGTGGTCAAACATATTTCTTCTTTATGACAATCTGATGTTTTATCCTTTTTCATAATTCTCTAGTATTACTTATTTTAAATTTTTTAACTATCGCTTTGAAAAACTTAAATGTCCATTCTTAATTTGAAAATGTGCCAAAAATACTACCACATGTAAATGCAAAACCAGTTACTATTAAAGTGTCAGCATAGTTTAAATATATTACCTTGATGACAATAAAGATAAAATTTTTTCAAGCCATTGGCATTATGATGGCTTTAAAACAATATCTCAGTTCCTTTAAAAATAACAGAAATTTTGGGCCGGCCCGGTGACGCACTGCTACAGTGCGCCGCTTGGGAAGCGCGGTGACGCTCCCACCGAGGGTTCGGATCCCACATACAGACCGGCCGCTCACTGGCTGAGCGAGGTGCGGGCGCAACACCGAGGGTTGCGATCCCGTTGCCGGTCCCGGTCCGGTACGGGCGCGACACTGAGGGTTGCAATCCGTTGCCGGTCATGAAAAAAGACAAAAAGGAAAAAAAAATAAATAAATAACAGAAATTTTTCATGTACATTATATATCTACCCACCGGAAATTCTATTTGCAGTTTTATATGCAGTAAATAAATAAATAACAAATTTTTCATGTACATTATATATCTACCCACCGGAAATTCTATTTGCAGTTTTATATGCAGTCATTTTAAGACCTTTTTGAAATAAATAATGCAAATGAATTAAAATAAGGTGTTCTCTTGATTTCTGAAGAGGCATTTATTGATGGTAATAATAGCTGTTGATATGCAAGCATTCTAAATTTTAAAAGACAGCTAAAAATTAAAGTCCAGAAACCAGAAACAAACACACAAACTTTTATTGAGAGCAAAAGTCAGACACAGCAGTTCTTTATTTAAATAGTTTATTAACAGATAGACAGATTCTGGCAAATTCCGTGTCTTCAAATCTTGCATTATATAAAAGGTAAATTTTATATTGACAGAGAAATAGATCTATTATTCATTCCTGTTCATTAAGCAACAAAGAAAAATAAAAAGTCATGTAAGAAATATCAGCATTCACACAACAAATCAATTCTCCATCCTGTCAGGTACCAGAGTCCTTACCACCTCTGAATCTTGAATCACAAAAGCTCAGGTAAATCTTCATGTATAGTTACCAATTTGTGTTCTCAACATATCCCATATGAATTCCAAATATGTTAAATATCCCCCATGCCATCTGAGCCAGGTCCTTGTCTTTCCTAGGCTCAAAGGCCACCTATCACCATCATGTCCCTTACCTCTATGGCCTTGGTGTAAGATGGAAGGACAGGGCAATGGACACCAATGTTAAAAAATAGTTTTCGTGTTCTTTTGCAACTATATTGCTTCATCTGTGAATATGAGCATTTACCTATTGAACATACCCTAAAATAGTCTTTGTTGACAAAATGTTTCACAGTTGGTTAATTGTCTGGTGAGATTACAAAGCTAAAAGGACCAGGGTTACTATATACTGGACCCCCATAACAGCCAGTTGCTCTGTCAAGTCACATAGCCATAGACAACCCACTTCACTCAAGTTCCACAGGAATTCATCAACTCCGTTGGAATAACTCAAAATACAGGTTCTTCTGAAGGTAAGTTAACAATCTGGTCCTGTTTCATGATGTATAACACAATACTGTGCTCTCAAGTTAAGTAGAAAATTGTAGGGTCATCAGTAATCCAGAAAAAAAAAAAGGTTGTCCAGGTGGAAAGATTTAAAGGAATAAACTAAACAGGAAACTGTCCTAGTGCATCAGTGTTCTACCTACCTTTATCAGTAAAGACCTGATTTTCCTCACTTTATTCTACAAACTTGCATTGTCACAAATGAAATCTACGGGTTCTATAGATTAAGGGTAACAGAAACTTTTACATGGTCAAGTTTTAAAGTATCTGTTCAAAAGAATAAAAGGAACACCTCAACCCTGAATTCAAAATTTGGGTCTTGTAAACACTAAATAGTAGTACATGACACAATGGAAATATATTCTATGACCAGGAAGAAATAAAGAAGTTGCCATTAGAATGTGAGGATTTGTTACACATAAATAAGCAATAATCTAAGAAGGACTAACCCAGGGTTTTTCACAAAAATGGAAAAGAAATAAACAAAGGGTTGAATAGGACAATGAAGACTGTATTACATTCAGACAATAAGGAATTGTCTTTTTATTTGCAGGGCCAAAAAATATCTTTATCTGTGGTGAGAGAAAGTTCAGGGTAATATATATGGAAGCATGAAATGAAAAATTGTGAAACAAACTATCTAAGAATATAAATATAGACTATCTTTTTTCATAAATATTCAATACATTATTTGATACATTGGTTTGAGCACAAATTTTAGCATCTTGATTTGGGCCGAGGTCCAGTAAATTATACATTCTCAACAACTATCAGAACTTTCTCACTAAAAATATATGCTCACGCTCTACTTCAAAAATATTCTAGGATAATTATTTCCATTTTCATAGTAACTGGTACAGTTATGACTAGCGTTGTTTCAGGTTTCCAAGGAAAGAAAATTATTCTGAGATACTGTTAATAAGAGAAAGTGTGATGGTAGAGAAGGGGCATTTTCTGAAAATTATGCTAAAGCTGTCATTTTTATTTTTAATGACTCTAACTGTGCTAGACAAGATTTTATTTTCAGTCACAGAAATAAAACTATCCAATACAACTCTTTAGTCTATTGCCCACCAATCTTCTCTCCCTGTATCAACCTCACAGTGGTTGATTCAGTTTGAAAGCATAAAACCAACATTTAGCAAACAGAATTCTCCTGACTAACAACTGCTCAGCCCCTCTACTGAGAAAATTCAGTGAATGATAACACCTAAGAAGGAGGCCTATACAATTTTTACTCTGTAGATACCAAGGAAAACCACTTAAAATGGTCTTTGATGATAATACAAAAGGCAAAGAATTTTGGAAAGTTTATTGCCAGTGTCTATACAACCATGTTTAAAAGTATGAGAGGTTTAATACCAGACTTTCCATCACCCCAGTATACAGGTAGAAAGACACCAAAAGACATATAGGAATCATTTTAAATAGTCTCCTGTTTCATTCAATGATTACCTTCCTCAGCATTGCTACTTTTAAAGCCAAATCATGCCAGATTCCCCAGAAGGGCTGGCTGTTTAGTGCTTATCATACGATGCTATATTAGTGAAGTTTACAAAAGCAAATGCCCAAGAATGTATCTAACAGTTTTTGATCTGAGATTACCAGACTGGATTTTGTCTAGGGTTATTTCCATATTATTCTACAGTGAAAAAGAGAGTAAGCTTCCACATCTTTCAAGGGGATGCCTCAAATAAGGCATAGAAAGATGCATCTCAGGGCAACAGAATTAGTTTTGCTTTAGTGGGAATGAGAATTTCTCAGTTCCAGTTACTTTATAAATGCATCATAGACTCAAATTCATCGATTCTTTGCTTGGTGTTCCCCTTCCTGATTTTCCGGTAGGATATTGTATTGTATCTCGAGTAAGCATTTCTGGAGATGTCGCTCTTCCTTCCTAAGGCCGGCTGCTCCTCAGGCGTCACCGGTTGAGAACAGGGGCTGCTCAGTGGGGAGACCTCACTTGCATCACCTTCTTCTTTAAAGTGAGAACCCTCTTCATGTTTTTTCTTAAATTCTATCACTCGAACTTCATCCTCATCACCATTGAAATCACCATCATCATCATCATCATTATTAGTTTCTGCATCCCAAACCTCTTGTTCCTCATCATGTTTAGAATGTAACATGTCAACCTGGCTAGGTTTCTGGAATCCCAACCATTCAATTTCAGTTGCCTGGTAGGCTGTGTTCTTCCCGTCCCCACCTTCTCTCTCTTCTAGAGGTTGTTCAGCAATCCTTTCCTTCTGTCTACTTATTTCCTGGTTACTGCTGCTCAGAGGAATCTTCTCCCACTGATGCCCTGTAGCAAAATCAATTGTTAGTTGAGATGTGCAGAGATTCCAGAGGACCCAGCTGTCATTTTGTTATTTTCCAAATTATCTTTCTGGACAATCATTTCCCAACCTGCTTTTATTTGGCATGATTCTGTGGATTACTAATGTTGTACACAATCAAACAGTCTACATGTTAGTTTAGAAAACACTGCATTAAATATAGTTAAATAAACTTCTTCAAAATTTATATAAGCCTTTAAAGTGCTAATGAATATTGTAAAGTTCCAAGAAAGTGGGCAACCCAACCTCATTTGATGATGAAACTCTGCTGTTGTGGACTACTTTATTTAGTGAGACTAGTATTTCCTGAGACACAGTTTTTAAAATCCTGTCTAGCCTGTCATAACTGGATATGTAAATATATAAAATAAAATGTTTGGATCTCTCTCTCTTTCTCTCTCTCTCTCTCTCTCTCTCTCACACACACACACACACAGAGACACAGAGAGAGAGAGAGAGAGAGAGAGAGAGCGCTCAAGGAAAATTAGAAAAAATACCTCAGGAGAGAAAAATCTTCTTCCAATAGTAAAAGCAATGATTGCCCTTGTCTGGTCACACTCAGAGTAGTACACTTGGCATTTGACACCATGTTTCTCAGAGTTGCTCTAAAGTAACCAGATATAGAAGGAGAGTCAAGGGCCCACAGATGGTCAGGACTCATGTGCTGGCCTAACTTAGGCACCAAGCCCACCAAAGCACACACAATTTGATCAAAGATCTGCCATTGATTTTTACAGAGCCAGGATACATCATATCTACGTAATGCTGGATTATCCTGTTGTTTTACACACGTTCCTAAGGACAACCAATGGACTTACTTTACTTAGTACCATGTAGAGATTTTTAAAAAGCTAATTCACTGCAGTAGTCATTTTTCAAACAGCTAGATCATATCAGCATACCCTGAGCAATATTTATTGAGCATGCTAAGAATTAATTGTCCGGAAGCAGAGGTTGTTCTCTGAGTTTTCACCCTTCAAGGACTCATGGAGGAAGTTTCAGTTTGTAGTATACATGACTCAGCAATGTTGTCTGTGTTATGACTCTTGTCAGGCCTGGATTCACCATTCCCTTTTGACACCATAAGAATCTATGAATAGGATAAGAGGCTATGTTCCTCTCTGTCCTTCCACAATTTTCTACTCTCTCTGAAAGATGTTCACAAGATGTCCATTTTCACCAAAGGTTTTTAGTTCTCTTTTCATTTCTGTTTTGTTTTGTTTTGTTTTCCCACTCTAAGAATCAGATTGCAAACTTATGAGAGAGAGAGAAATAAAGATAGATTATCACCCCTAACTAGGTACATACAACTGCTATCAGGTCATTCATATCCAATCAATGTTCTTTACATTATACATAAATACACATTCAAATGTTTGCTATAATCTTAAGCTTTGTTTTGTTTTGTTTTCCATAAGAACCAAAGAAACTCATTGTTTTGTTCATATTTATCACTCAGGCATGGAATTGTCATACATGAAATTACTCCTTGAATTTAAATTACAGATTTTCCTCAATATTTTTAGCATCTTAATATTTTTCAATCCAGGAGCATTCTCTTTGAAGATTTTATAGCTTTTTGCCAATGTGAAAATAAAAGACACCAAAATCTGTGCCTTTATCATACAGAAAAAAACATATGTCCCATTAAACACAAAAGGATTCATTTAGGGAGAAATTTACCAGTGAGACTATGTAGTTTAAAAATACAGACTGCTTTCATTCTCCATTTGATCAAAATGAAAGGTCCTACAAAACTGTTGTCTACAGTGGATCTCCTGATAAAGAATTTTAAAGGTGCTATAGATGGAAAATTGAGATCCATGCCTCTGAGAAATTGTTGCGTTGAAAGCAGAAAGATTAGCACAAAGTAAGTTATTTAGTTCATTTTGTTGGGTCTTAAGTCTCATAAATTAGTTCTGATAATGTAATAGCTTGACAATGGTTATTACTTGCTTTATTCTTCCTTAAATGTCTATACATTTGGGAGTAAAATAATGGTTACCAGAGGCTGGGAAGAGATGGGTGTGGATAGTGAGGAAAAGGGGGTGGACTAATGGGTACAAAACTCTGCTCTCTACCCTAAGTGAATCATTGTGCAGTATATGCATATATTGAAACAACACACTGTACCCCACAAATATGTATAAGTAAATGATAAAATTTTTAAAAAGGATTCTATACATTGGTCAGCAGACACAGTCTGAGAGGTGTTCAGGCAAAGGGAGCAAACACAGGAAATTGCCAATCATGTCCACATCCTTCTTGGCATCTACCATTTTGTGTGATCTTCTAATATCTCAACTAAAAGTCTCTTCAAAATTTTGCCTGTTAAAGGCCTAACTAAGCTATGGGTGTAACAAGCTGACTTCAATTTTGAGATAAGATATTTATTGCTGCTAGAGAGAATTGTGATAATTAATTAATAGATTTTTATTCTGCACTTTATTTGGAAACTGTTTGAATTTAGACAACTTCTTAGCAGAAAAGTCTAAAGGATTTTGTGTCTCTTAATCTACTGAGTTGATTTGAAATTTAATATAATCACTTCAATGTTGTCTTTATCTTCCCATTTTCTTAAAGAACACAATTAAAATTAACTTCATCCTCCTGGGAGCTTTCTTTGACAAGAAATAGTTAACCATTCTGTACTTACATCAGAGGCCTAAAATTTGCCTACAGAGTAAATCAATTTATAAGATGACTTTAAACTATATGCCAATAGTAGACTTTTAGGATAAAACTATCTTTGGAACATTTGCATTTTGCAGGGTGCCTGACAGATTTGGAGAAACCAAAATCAAAAAGAAAGGTTGATTTACTGGACTAACTTAGTAAGAGACAAATATCACATTGGTATGCCAATCAGCTCTACCAATCCATGCAGTCCGAGTCTTGAACTGTTTGGAATGCTTTCTAAGTTGGAACCCACAGATAAATCAAGACTTTCTTATCTGCCTGCAGCAGCTTTGAGGTTTTGAAGTCATTGCCTGGATTGCTTTTTCAACACCACATTCACACAACATCCCATGCAAAAACTGTCATCCATATCCAGTCAAACAATTTCTGTTACAAAACTGTAGCTTCTGTTACCTTCTCTGAAAGTCATTTCATCAGCACTTGCTTCTTGGAGAGAAAGATCTGTGACAGCCTTATGAACAATAAAGAGGTTCTCTTCTGGGTTTTCTGGAAAAAAATACAAGTTTACTATTTTAACATTTAAATGTATATGGTTCAATGGTTAATAAATTATTAATTTAGATTCTAGGGAGATTTCTTTAACTACAATCACTACAAGTTACTATTTGGCTCTTCTGATTCATTTCTTTACTGATTCCATTTATTTATTTAATGGTTATTTAATTAATTTATTGATAATATCTCCTTTAATATTTATATAAGGTACAGAATCATGAATTCAGACATATTCAAGTATACTTAGAAGGATATCTTAAAATTCTATATTCTTTGTTAAAATAATAATGGCACTGCCCATAATATTAATAAATAACAATAGTTAGCATTTAGCCAACACTAAGTAGTTCTTGCAACAACCCTACGCAGATAGGCACTATTATTCTGCTTTCTTCTAGTATGAAAAACTCGGGTTTAAGGAGACAAAGAAAGTTGTCTAGGGTCACAAAGCTGTCAAATAGATAAGGCTCGTTTTGACCAGAGGCAGAGGTTTAGTTTTTATGCTATATACAGTCTTAGTAGAATAAGGGGCCACATTTTGGGGTGTCTAGCAAATTCCTGTAATAACAGTCCTGAGTGAATTTAGAAATTAAAAGAAGCAAATTGAGAAGGGAAACATTTTACCTTTTAGAATCTTCTCATCCATTGACCAGTTGAGCTGCACGTTCCCTTGTAATTTTCCACTTTCCTCCTGATTTTCTTCTGTGGGTAAATCTTCAAGACTGGGTTCTACCCTGCAGTATGGTGGAATGCCACCCACATCAGTCGTTTCCTTATTGATTCTAGTGATTGGTTGTTGATCGTTTTCAGGCAGTTTATCCCCATTACACTCAGCCTGACTAAATGTTGCTGGAACATCTGTCATGATGTACAGTTGAGTCCGACTTGGAGAGAGCTTTGGGGAAATTGAGTGAGCAGATCCTTGACAAGTTACCTTCTCTTGCTTTCAAGTCCTATAGTTTCAACTCCTACTCTAAGAGTACAAATTATTCACTTCAGTACACAATAACAAGATTCTTTTCCTAAAGGTGTCCAGACAGAGCTTAGAACAAAAGCAATAGGATTTGTCAGACTTGCCAGAGGCCCATGAGCAAGAATCTAGCCAATAAGTGCCTTCTTTGGTGCTTAGCAGTTCCACTGGCAGAATTAATGGCACCCTTTTGATTTACATAAACAAACAATCTGAAGCAATCAGGCTTTTGTGCTGGCATGTAGAGGGGGACTTTCAGCTTGTCAGTCCCCCTCTGGGAACAGAGATTTTTGTCCCTTTTCATAATGGCCCATTGTAACTTCCCTGTAACAGGAGCTCCAATTGTTCCACAGCTTTAATCCAGAGAGAATGACCACCTTGAGGCATATTAGTTCTATGTAACCAGCTTAACATTTCCAAACAGATTTTGTTCGAGTAAAACCTCAGCTATTTTGCAGGGAACAATGGAATCATTTCTTATTTATTAAAGAAAAAAAACAGCTTATCAAAACCCTGTAAACAGGACAACTTTATTATAAATGGTTCTGGCAGCAGATTTCATGGTGTGTCTTCAGGAGGCAGGAGATGGGACCAAAGAAAAACAAACGAATAAACAAATTCTACCAACTTGCTAATACCAAAAAGTTTACAATTTTATAGTAATTCATTTAGTCTATAGTTTCTTATGCTGTAGTTTATTTATAAAGATGAAACCTAACTTATCTTTTAAAACTCTAATATAATTTTCTTCATGAAGTTTTCCCTTCCTTCAATCAGAATTATTCTATATATTCCATATTAATACTACATGATGCTGAAAATGATACGGCAACAACACAGTCTACCCATGAGGGAAATCGGTGATTATGTAAAATATCTGCTACCGGCCACGCCTTCCTTTTCAAAGAAAGATACTAATCCTTTTTCTTTTGTGGATTCCACACAGCACAAAATGGTTTCAGAGCCTTTGCCCAAGCTGCTTCCTCGGTTTGGAATGTGCTTCTCTTCCTCAAGGCCAAACCTTTGGCCTATCCAGCTCCTCTAAGTTCTCAGTCATAGACTTACACATCATTTCTTTAAGGACACTTTCCCTGACCCCACAGGATTAGGGAGGGACTCTTCTTACACGTTACCTTTGCCCTTCGGAGTACTCATCATAGTTGTGATTAAACAAGCCCAATGATTTGTGGCATGTCTCTTTCACCGCTAGACTCTAAGCATCATCTGGGCAGGGGCCATTTTAACCTGTTTACATGTGTCCCCAGCATGTACCTCCTGCCTTGAATTAGGTAGGTACCTAACAAAAATAATTTTAAATTACATATATGAATAAATGAATAAATTTGACCCCCAAGAGAATACACTTCAGATCTTTTCTAAAGGGAAGAAGAGTAGAGGTTGGAGAGTGATTGTAAATTTATCATCCTTAAAATTGTGTCTTGGTGGGGAGAGAGGGAGCAGGGTTGGGGAGTGATAGGTCAGGTAAAGGGCGTAAAGAAAATCTGTAATAATGGATATGCTAATAATAAAAAACATAATAAAGAAAAAAATTGTGTCTGGTCAGAGCCCACTAGGGTCTCTATCAGGGATTACAAATACATAGTAGTTGGGTATCACCTCCTCTCTCATGTCCTTTAGAGACTAGAACTATCTCTAATACAGCCTAGAACTCCCTCCCTTGTCATCACCAGCTTTTCTCTCTCCAGCACACTAATTATTTGTTTGTCTGATTGATTGCTTGTTTTTTTAAAATTTCTTTAACAAATATATGGTACTTATTATATTCCAGGAAGTGCTCTAATTGCTTCAAAATAGTAATACAGACCTGTTAAGTGCTATCATTGTTCCCATTTTACAGACCAGAAGAATGAAGCACAGAGACATTAAGAAACTTGTTCAACATCACACAGCAAATAAATCTCCTGATAAGAGTTTGCAGCATAGATGAAGCCAAGTGCCATCCCTGGACTGTGTGCCACGTTTCCTTGGGCGAGAGATCCCACAAGGATCCAGAATTAACCAGCTTAGCAGCAGAGATAGTTGTAGCCATGAGAGGGCAGTAGAGGGCTTGGCGACGCAGTACCAAGGCTTTCCGAAGAGACACACCACAGCTGCTGAGAACAGTGTTGGAAGGGAATCCTCCCAGGAAATTCACCAGTAAGCCTACTGATGAGAAAATATGGAATGGAATCAAACGGTGCAATGCAGAGACTAAGATCAAAGCTTAGGAACAAACAGAGAAATAAAATATTCTGAAATCCTTAACTGACAGCGAGTGGCACTAATTCAACCAAAAGCCCAGAAAAAAAACATAGAAATATAGATATGCTCATATTAGCTTTAAAGGACCTGTCTCGGCTCACTCTTAATTCCCTCAGGACTGCCAAGTACCTGAATTCAGGAGATTTCTATTACCCTATAGCAACATGCAACTTATACCTATAGCCTGGTTTTATGGGGATTTATTTATTTATTTTTGGATTGTCTTCTTTCTAATGCCATGCTTTGACGCTTTTTATGGCATTAGAATTATTTCAGATTTGGAAAGATAGAAAAATGATCCAAATCCTGTCAACCTTGGCTAACCAGTGTGTTCACTTTTAGAAAAAGCTTGTTTTTATTCTGCCCTACAGAATAATGGAGGTCAGGTAAATGGTTCATAATATATATTATTTTCCTGCAAGTAGGTGGCAACGCAAGACACATTTTGTACCAAGATGAGTCTATCTAACTACCAAATAAAAGGCAGGGTATTTTGTTCACAAAGGGGTAAGTTGTCACCCATTGCTTGTAACAACCTATGACTTAGAAAGTATGTTGGGGGCCGGCCTGGTGGCGCACTGGATAGTGCACCGCTTGAGAAGCGCGGCGGCGCTCCCGCCCGAGGGTTCGGATCCCACATACAGACCGGTTCCCGCTCACTGGCTGAGCGAGGCGCGGGAGCAACGCCGAGGGTTGCGATCCCGTTGCCGGACACGGAAAAAGACAAAAAAAAAAAAAAAGTATGTTGGAAGTTGCACTAATGATCCTTAATTTAAATACTATTATATAATGTCCACTTTATAAAATGTGACTTTTTATTTACATAATTTGCTGTCATATTTGGCTTTTTTCCCTAGTTACTATTCTTAATAGTAAAGGAGGTTGCATAAATGTAACCATTGTCAAACCTGTAGCAAAACATGATAATGAAAGGACCTTCACATGGAAATGTAAAGTATCAAAATAAAATTATCTAAATATTCACACTCCATTTGTCAAATGCCAAATGCTTAATATTAAGGATATATTAGGTCCAGAAACAGAATTTGGAGAAAAGGCATAAAATCCTGATCTTTAATAATATCTGAAAAGCCGAACCACAAGTTAATGTTATGACTAGGAGATGGCCAACGAGCAATGAATCAAAACAAGAAATAAAATTAAAAGATAAGTATTTTTATCCTGGAAGCTTGGAGCCAATTTTTATACAAACAGAGGTTTACATACTCAGGACAAAGGTATTGTTTCAATCAGTATAGAGACAGATAGAACCACTAAGAGATAAGTCAATAGATTATCCATCCATCTATCTGAGAGGATGTGACCTGACAAATTGCGTGCGCTGTTAAGCTGTCTCTGTAAGTTTGCTGTTGCATCTGATGCTGGAGCATGAAGTCTCCAGGGCAGGAAGTCAGGAGGGGAAAATGGATGTAAAGGAGGAGCCCAAGAACAAGCTGGATAGAAAGAACAAGCTGGAACCCGTGTCAGCTCTCACTGCCTCTGACCTTGTGGTATGAGTGTCTTCCAGGAGAAGCTGGTCTCCTTTGTCCTGGCCCAGAAATCAGAGATGCAGAAGGAAGATCCAGGGGAAGGAGAGGCCATTGCAGGCCCAGTTGCTGCCCCCTGTACCAGGGAAGCCAACAGACCAGCAACAGTGAGTGCGAGCTACAAGACAGCTGCTGCCTCACTTCTGCCCTTCCCAACTCTCACAAGAATGTCTCCTCTGCCCCACCTTTCTTTCTCTGGAAATATACAGAAGAGGAAATTCGGAGAACTGTAGTTTAGCTTAGTTAGGTTGACACATGACAAAGTCACCAATCCTACCAAGAACCCATGGAATCTTGCTTAGGGAATAGAGTAATGCCTCAAGAATGTGCAACCGTGGAAGACCCTGAGGAGACAGGATAATCCGAATGGGTTCACTTAAGGGATTAAAATTCCAAATCAAAGAGACAGCCTAGCTAAAGTAAACTGCCATAGGGAATAGAGTAATGCCTCAAGAATGTGCAACCGTGGAAGACCCTGAGGAGACAGGATAATCCCAATGGGTTCACTTAAGGGATTAAAATTCCAAATCAAAGAGACAGCCTAGCTAAAGTAAACTGTCATAGAAATATATAATATTATAACATAATAAAATTAATCAATATCCATATATTTCACTTTAAAAAATAATGACTGCCTGCTGCCTAGCATAAATTAATGTGCCATGTTACATGTGCCTGTGCACGTTTCTTGCATGTACAGTATTTTTATGCCTTGTGTGAAAGTACAGCTGCCATTCCGGTGATATAAGATCCTGAAGTAAAGAATGATTTCTTCCAGGAAGCCAATAGTGAAGTCTATGGGTAGCCCATGAGTTTTAAGAATTTAATGTAACAATTTGAAAAATCAACTGCATCTTAAAAGAAGCATGCTTTCCAACCAACCTCGAAGGCAGGGGAATGGAGGATTGCCTATTGTCTCTCTCGGGACAAAGCCTTTCTTATTCCCCAGGAAAGGTATATCTCTTTGTGGTCCTAGAATCTGAAGCCTGGCCTCCCAGTGAGTCACTACAAACTATTTTAAAGAGAAGTACTGGAAGAAGTAAGCTGGATATTTGGCGAGGATTAGAGACAGTATGGCCCTGAACAAAGGAGCCACTCCCAGGTCCCTGTCACCAAGACTGGCAGAAGCTGGGGGTGGGGAGTGAGAGCACTAAC